AGCTACTAGCTGCAGCTCACAAAGGACAGAATTAAAACCCCACACCAGAGCATCTGAAGCTAATGAATAGTCTCCTAGGCAACAGCAGTACTTAATACATTTTATTTAAGTTACCATGTCTGTGCATGTTCGAGCATGCATATAGCATAAGTGTGCTTAGCAACATGTACTTACATTCTGCTGAAATTACATGATTTTCTTCATGTATTTAAGGGAAATGAAACAAACTGAGAGCTGTCAGTAGTGACTGTTCAGGACCATAATGCATTGCTCTTGGGCAAATAAATAGACCATTAAACTAGCAGTTTGGAGACTGAACAGTAACTAGCTTTAGAGAGGGCTGCCTCCCACACACAGGCACCCTGCAGAGACTGCTAAGATCATAGCTGAGTAGCGGAGTCTCAGCCGTGGATTTGGCCTCCTCCATCATGCATTTGAACAAAAATCAACTGGCAGGATGGAAGCATCGTTTGTATGTTTGACAAGTCAAATGCAAATTCAAAGATGTCCTGTGTTGTTGTGAAGGAGCAGAGTTGTAAATTTATTTGTGAATTTGACTCAAGGATGTTTTCTTTTTTTTATTCAGAGGTGTTTTTGTCTCAGAGGTTGCTTTGAACATGTGCACGATACTGTCACGGTTGATTCTGTAATTTATCAGTACATGCTGTGGAGCAGCACACCCTGTGGCTTGGCATTAACATACTGTAGGGTTACTTCTGTTGTACAAGGAAAAGAAAGCACTTGTAGATGGGGAGGGAGACTCATGGGGAGTGAGACAAGAAACAAGGAGCTAAAGCTTCAACCTTCACAGGCATAACATCCTTTCTGTTTTCCTACTTAGTCAGTGCTAGTTATTATTTACGATGAGTAAATTTATGGAATAATTTCAGTGAGGGAAGGTTACTCAGTTCCTCAAGGTGAAAATGGATACGTTGAGCACTTAATGAATCGGGCTTGGGACTCTCCCATATATCAGCATGTTATTAAGACATTTTAAAATCCCATTATGGTGTTTCTCCTTGAACATGTCATACTTTTATTGGAATGCCCTGTCTTTAAATCTGACCTTTTCGGTCCTGCTCTGGAATTGAACTGGAAAAAAAAAGATACATGAGAGGAAGACTGAACAAAATATACATATGTATAAAGATATCAGTGAGACAGTTTTCAGTGATTTGACTGGGATGCCTGGTAATGACCAATAGTTTCAAGCAGCAAATAGGTGATTAAATAGTAGCTAAAAATGTTTACTGTAAATTAAGTGTAATAATCCTGTTATAAATTTGTGCCATTTTGGGCCCAGTTTTATTGAAATGTGTGATTTTTGATTATTAAATCTATTTGTTTTGTGAGTTCAGATATGGGAACTTAAGTTGTATCGTATGCTTTATCCTGTGCTGTAGTACATACTCTATATGCATATCATACGCAGGTCTGTATTCGGGATACTAATAATACATTATTAAAATGGCACTACAGTTCAAACAAACATATTGTAAATCACAGCTACATCTTTTAAACATTTCCTCCAAACAAATTGGACCCAGGTCTGGCAAAATTGTTCAGCTTGAACAACAATAATGACAAAAGAAGGAGGCAAAATTGAGGAAGGAGGAGAGCGTGAACAAAGACTGTGATGACAGAGGCATCTAATCCAACCAATCCCATTCTTATCAGGGTCCAGTGGATTAGAGTGAGCCTTCTAACCAGAGAAACCTTCCCAGCTAGATGCTCTCCACAGCCCAAGGGCCTAGATCAATAGGCCTGCATTGATCTCTCTCCTCCTGTGGCTGGATTCACTTTTATTAGGACTGCCTCAGCCTCTTTCACTTGTACACACATATGCAGCCTTTCAACCTCTCCATGCTGTGAAAAACCACAAATATGAACAGACAGAGAGGAATGCACACACAAATACACACACACACACACACACATATATTTTATGTGTGAACAAGAGTTAAGGTTGTTTTGTTTACACTGAATAATGGGCAGGAGAAACATTATAGTGTCAAGTCAACCGAGCTGCATGATAGTGGTTTGTTTCCTCTCTAGCTTTGATCAGTATCACAGAACATCTATTAGTATGTGAGAGAGGGCCTTGACACCTCTGGTTTGTGGTCCCTCCTTGTAGCAGCGACATCCAACGCTAACCCCTCTGCTGCTCTTTCTTCTCTCCCCTCTAGATGACTCGCCCCATCCAGGTGAAACCGGCTGACAGCGAGAGCCGTGGAGGTAGTTGTCTTCTTTTCTTCATCATTTATTCATGTCGCCTTTTCATCTGTCTTATCTGGGCAAATTCTTTTTATTCTTTCGCTCTGATCCCATCTGTTCCAATGCTCTCAATACAGTATTTCTGTCTCTCTTTTTCTCACATGCCAATTCTTTTTCATTCTCATGCTGCTGCACTTACATCATTCTAATAATTTGATCATTCCAAAGATATTACTACAGTTTTAAACCCATTATGTGACATCGAAACACAAAGTGATTTGATGCCGCCTTTGTGTGAATGCCAGTCTTGTGATAGTTTATAATAAATTTTAGTGTAAATGTTGGTAATTTCTTCTCATATTGTATATATTATAGTTTTCCTTTTAAAAATTGTTTATCACTAGTTGATATCCACAGGGGTTCTGGAATAACCTTTTTGTTTATTTTGCACAGTCTCAACCCACTTGTGCCCTTGTGCTGGTTGTAATTGATTAGTGAGTTTATTATTGAAAGGACACAAGGCTGTGGTGGGTCTCCCTGCTGCCAGTCTCTCTTTTCTTGTTTCCTATGCCAAGTACATTATCACTGCACTGTAAATTAAATAGTGATTAGACTCAATACTGGAACCATAGCCACACAAAGACCCTGTTGAAGCCCACACTACCTTTTTTGTGTGGATTTGAAAATCAAGAGTAAATAGTATAAAGGGAGGGGGAAACTGGAGCATGAGCACATACAGCTTGCCAAACAATCAATAAATTTGCAGCGTTCCTGCCAAAATCCTCATTACTTGGCCTTAATTCTGTCGACTTTGATCTCTTCCCTTTTTGGAGGCATTCATTTACTCGCTGCCTATCTGCATTTATGTTAATGAGATGAGGAGGCAACCTTCAAGTCAGTGGCAGAGACAATGAGCCTTGTTGTTTTTTTTTTTGGTGTGCATCTCGTGCATCAAGTTATTTAAAGTGGGAGCGTTGTTTTCAACCTTTTGCATTCTGTTGGAAGGAAAGAGCGAGATTTGGAAGTAAAAAAAACAGACAGGGAGGGAAAATGCAAAAACGATGCCAACTGCATACAGCTGCTCTGCTGCACTTCTGAGGCCTTACCTTAAAACCTTTGCCTGTTTGGGGTGAATTAGGATGGCTGGCCACTTGGCTGCCTGTCAAATGCACACAGTCTTCAAAGGACACCATAACCCCTTGAGATGGGTGGAGGAAAGGCCATCCCTGTCTGTACTCCATGTTTTGTTCTATCTTTCTTTCTTTCTGTCTTCTTCTCTCAACCTTTCATTCAGAGCTATAGAGAAGAAGAGAGACAAGGAAAAGGGTCTTGTGCTGTGAAGATTGATGTCCCCTATAGCTCCATTGATTTTGCCATTGTGGTGCTGTGTGTCCACATTTAACAATGACACTCAGCTGTCTCTTTACTTGGTTGCAAGTGGCTGGTTTTAAAGCTCCCAGGGCACTTTGGTCAGTACGGGGTCCCCTTATTGGCTAGCCATGGGGACCCCATTAAGGAACAAATGAGTGCTGGAACAGACCTGAGAGCTGCACATCATCTTAAATGAATAGGTCAGAGTGGTGCCGCAGGGGCAATCTAACGTCAGCATGACTTTAACAGGTTAGGAAGTAGAAGTGAGATGGGGATACAAGGAATTTGCAAAGGGGGATGGAACTGATTTAAATATTCTCATCCCATTTCTAATCTGCAGACTTGATTTTCTTTTCTTTTTCTTTTTTCCAATAACTATTGGCAAAGATAACTTTTTTTCACAGATTTGGTTCTGTCATCAGCTGCAGTTAGCTGATTCTCTTTTATGACCTACTGCAAGCTTTTGCTCCTTATTTGCTGTAAAAATATGGAAGAAGGTTTCATAATTTCAAGGTGAGATGTGTTGTTATTTCACATTGTCAAAACTGCCAAGATTAATTTTTTTGTTATTCTGATCCTTATTTGTTTGCCACTGCCAGGATCCAGATCAATAACTCGCCATTGTGTACAGGAGCTGGAAGAGCAGATGCAAAGAAATATTAATTAGCTTCTTAGTGCAGTGGAGGGAGGGGTACCAGGGACAGACCCAGTCTGGTCTGCTGTCTCAAGGGCCATACTGCAAGTCCAATAGGGGGCACACAGTCACACTACAACACACAATTATACTAATTAGTCCCTTAATCTCATTATAGGGAGGAAAGTTCAGATCACGTGCACTGGATTGGACGTGCATCAGGGAAAGACCTGTTACTGTGGCTTTATGGTTTGCATTAGCAAAAATCAGAGAATTCCCCTTCAGAGTTGTTTGATGTTTAGTAGCTCTTCTCTGGCGAAGGTAATCCAGGATGGGTTGCAGAAGACTGAGAAAATGAGGAAAAACAAGTGCACGGTCGAGACGGCTATCTGCAGCACCAGTATCCACCCTAGTTATTGTTGCAATGAAAATGTAAACTGCTTGCCTACAATAATAAAAGAGGAATACAGTGGAACATACTGTTCTAACTATTTAAAATATTTGGTATAAAATTCTTGGACAGTTATTCAAAGCAGAGCAGTTTTCTGATGGAGATTTTTAAAATGTTCACCTTATCGGACACTAAAAACAAACTCTTAAAATTTAGAGCACATCTAACCTCCGGGTAGCTTCACTGAGGCCATATGAGTGAAGTACATGGCCTACAGAAATTAAAAGGAAATATATGGTAGATTAAATCCATCCAAACACTCTGTCAGCCCCTGCTGCTGCTTAACAAAGACACACTGTGAAATGAATATTAATGGGCAATCACCTACCTAATCTAGCAGAACTGCAGTACACATTGATCCAGCAGCACCGTGAATGTCTCCGTCACTGATGATGCAGACAACTCTGGGTTGTTTCTGCCAGGAAGATGTTTAAAGAGCCACAGCAGCACAGATGCAGCAGGGACCTGTCTCTGGTTTTCTCCTCACAGGTCTCTGATATGAAATAGATTGATTTTCCATCAGACATGCTACTGATGACTGACACTGACTGCTGCTGATATTTCATTTCTGAAGGGCTGTTCAGTGCCTCCTTAGAGGGCTTGGCGTCCTCACACATGATAAATCAGCTTTAACCACTTTGATTTCATTCTAAACCCTTTACCCCCCATAACATTTCACCAATACTGTCTGTCCTTTCTTGTTTCCATTTTTGTGGGCTGTCATTTCATTAGATTTTCCCTTTTGTATCTTTTTTTAGTTCATCTTTAAAAAAACTGTCATGTTCTTTTGTAATTTTCTTTTGTGCAAGTGCTGTATTTCTGTCCTTTTCATGGCTGTTCTCATGTCTCATTTTAAGCCACTGTTAAACTTCTGAGCAGTGAGATTGTCTATAAAGCAGAGAGAGGAGCAGGCTAGCTGTCAGCTGGGGCTCTGTTGGTGTTGTAGCAGGCCTGCCTGGCACAGTTGAGCTCCAGCCCACTGAGGAGGCCTGGATTAGAAACAGGCTCTGGCATTATCAAGGCAGGTCTGCCACCCACGCACACACCCACACAGACAGGATGAACAGGCAAAAGCATACATACCAATATGGCCGTGACACGCACATACTCACTCTCTTGCTTTTCCATGCAAACACACACACACACACACACAAGCAGTGGACATAACAATAGGAACACGTGCGCACACACAAATAATTTATTTAAACATAGAGACACACACAATGTACATATGAGCTGAATAGAATGGGTTTAGAATGGGTCAGTTTTCTTTTTAGGGGGCTGTGTTTTGTGTTGCCAACTCGGCAGCAGTGTTGTGTTGTGCTTGTGTGTTTACTCCAACTGAAGGACACTGAAAAAGGTTTGCTCCAGTTCACTGAGATGTGACGGCACAAAGAGAGAGAGAAAATGAAAGTGAGGCAATAAGTTAAATAGAAAGGACAAAAAAAGAAAGAAAGATTGAGAATCCAGAGTGAGAGAGCAGGGCTACATGCTCTGTTGCTGTTCTGCATTCAGTTTTTGATGATGAATTTATCTGGTGTAAAAGACAACAGAGTGGTCCATGTATTAAACATCAGTGGCATTCTCCTTTTCTTACTAGAGATTCAAACTCCTCATGTCAGAGCAGCTCAGTAATGAAGCAAGCAGGAAGGCCTCTAAGCTCCACTGATCCCCTTTAGAATGAAGGAGAGAGGGGTAGTTAGAGGAACAGAAAAACAGAAGGGTGTTGATAAACCAGCGGGAGGAGGGGCAGCAGAAGCAGAAAACTATAGATTACTGGTCACAGTGTGCTAAGCTGGTCATAAATGGAGAGATCTTGATATAGTAGAGAGCATGTTCAGAGGTTGTGGGGATCAAGGTGAGCTAATCCAATGGTAAGGCCAGCTAGGTCACATATTCAGAGCTTGCACTCCTTCCAAATCCCCTATGCTGCTATTACACAAACAATAGTGATACACAGCCCAGAGTTCAGTTCAGCTAACCCCACCAATCCGGCCTGGGATGTTCAGGTCAGTCTGCCTGTAAGCTCTTAAATTTTACCCTAACATCAGCACAAACTGGTTTGTTTTGAAGGGGAGGGGTGGAGGGTGAATTAGGTTTATGGCAGACAAGAGGAGAGAAAGCAAGAGAACAACAGAGAGAGAGAAAGAGATGATGAAATCATTTCTTTAGGGATGTGCTGTGCTCCTGTGGGTCGGATTGTGCTGAGGCTGTAGGAGTTATGCAGAGTCAGTGGAAGACCTAGATCACAACAATTCACTAATACTCTTGGTAGGTGGAGATCAATTAGCCTTATCTAACAAACTAATGATAACACCAATGTAAAACTTGCTGACAGAGCAGAAAACAACAGGAGGCAGAGTGATGATGTAATGGATTTAGTTGGTGGAAAGACGCAGTATTTCTGCAAAGACAGTGCCTCACACTCTTTTTTCTAACTAAATGCACTGTTACAACAACTTTTATGGTACATAGATAGAAGCACCAGTAGCTTACAGAGTGGACAAAATAACAGGAACACCTCATAATATAGTACATACTGTACATCTAAAAACTGACAAGAGC